CCTGCAGAGCCCTGAGGCCAAGCTCCGACCTGAGCCTGAGCCCTGTCCGTGGGCCAAGAAAGTGGCAGTTCTAGACCTCTCCGTGGAGGGACAGAGTTGAGAGTATCTCGGGAGCTGGGACAGCCAGTGGGGAAGGCAAGTCCTCTCTAGGGGCCAGCCAAGCCGAAGCTGAGGGTTGGAGGTGTGGTTTGCCCCTCTGCTAAATGAATATGGCTCAGCCCCTCCCCTGGCAGAGACCTCTCCTCCGTGCCCCTGGCTTCAACCCCAACTGGGCAAGTAGGCAGCGATGCGAGGTCCCTCCAGGTAGGGAACCCGCTTTGGTGCTGGTACAGAAAGGAGGGCATTTTTTTCAAGGATTTTGCTGGCCCTTTTTTTTTTCTCTGAAATATAAGGATGTGCAATTTTTTTGGTTTCAATTTAGCATTGGAGAATTTTATAATTTAGTAATTAAAATCTCTGATAGGCTTTAGAAATTGCAGCTAATTGAATTTAATGGGAAGATGATTTTCAATTTTATTTGATTACCGGGACCCCTGGCATCGGTATTTATGGGAAAAAAATGGGAAATGTGCTGTGTGGGCTAAGATGGCATAATTGAATTAGGGATAATCGGATTTCTCCGTCATGAATTTCACTATAATTTTCCTATAATTTTCCATTAGATATCTAGTTTACAAATATTCACAAAGAAATGAAGCTCTTTCGGAATGGAGATTGCTGGCTAACAGGATTATGGGGCCGAGCGTGCGGCTGTGCCAGCCCCTACATGGCCATAATGCGATCCCTGTATCTGCCTTATACTTAGCCTGAGCCTGGCCTCAGCCCCTCGCTCCACCACCCACTTCCCTGCTCCTCTCTGCCCTTTGTACCTTCTCCGTCCCTGTGTGCCCCCTGCCCAGACACCCACCCGTCCCTGGCCCACAGCCTCTTGCGCCCTGGCAGACCGTCCCCGTGCCACCGTGCTTCCTGTCCACACTTTGCTCACTTGACGCTCTCCCCGACACCCTCCCTCTGTCAGCCCAAGCAGTGCACTCACACGCAAACACATGGACTCCCTCACAGGTGCGAACATGCTTGTTCACATGCACACACAGTCTTTGGCCAAGGTTTCTGTGCCCTGGCCCAGTCGCCTCAGAGGGAACCAGTTTATTGGGATCCTGGGGTGGGGTGCAGGAACAAAAGGAGCTTTGTTCAAGTTTATGTGAAAGTTACAAATTCAGAATGAGAGCAGATAAAGCCTGAGATACCTGGTGTGTAAACAGGCTGGTGAGTGAGAAGGCCCCGGGCTCGGGAGGGAGAGAGAATGAGTGGGCACACTCTGGGGGTGTGAGGGGACCAGGAGCCAACCGTGGAAGCTGGCCTGGGGAGAGTTGATGGTTTTCCCTGGACCCGTGTGAGGGGTCCAGTGGCCGGGATTGCTCTGCACAGCTGCACATTTTCTCTTGGGGATGGGATGGGGTGCGTAAGGAGGAACTGGTGTCTCTGGGCCCAGGGCCTCGAGATTGGGAGGAATTGAGGCATTGGGCTTTCCGTGCCCTGAGTCCCAGACACAAATGTCCTCACTGTGGCCTGGCCTCAGGGTCTAAGAGGTGTCACCACATCAGGGTCCTCAAGGCAAAAATGGGCCATAGCTTCAGAGATGCCAGAGTTCTGGGCCTCTCCCCTTCCTCCGAGCACACACCCAAGGAGAAAGAAAGAGAGAGAAATCTGGGGACCCCTCCATTAGGCAGTCTCTGACTCACACCTCATGACCTCGACGCCTCAGCCTTCTTCTCAGACTTTCTTAAATTATACCACGCCAAGATGGCCTCATTCTCTGTGCCTCTCTGGCTTGCCCTCCACTCTTGGGCAAGACCCCTTAAGCCTTAGTGGCTGCCTGTGGCTGTCGCAGAGGCAGAACAGAGGCTCTTCGGCAGCCCACACCTCCCTCCACCACTGTGCCTGACCTGTCCCTCTGGCAGGCCCTGTCGGCTCTGTGCGCTGCCAGTTCTCCAGCCTTTGTCCACCAGAGGCCCCGAAGTCACCGTGCAGCCAGTCCAGTTGGCCTTGTCTAGGTAACTGGAAGGCATGCCCTCCCATGCCCTCACCGCCATCAGCAGGAGCCCAGAAGGGTATTCAGAGACAGCCAGCAGGCCGTTTGGGTCACATATGCAGGGGGCTCCCTATACGTGCTTCATCACGTAAACCCAGAGATCACCCTTCCACTCGTATGTGACTCTTATGTCTTCAGGCTTCCTTCCACGCCCCAGCTGCCCAGGTCGGGGAGCAGACACTCAGGATTGGGGTTTGGGATTGCTGCCTGTTGTTACAGCCAAAGGCTGTAAGCCTCGCTTCGGAGGGTCGTAGGGGAGAGCGGCCAGAGACATCTGTATACTCCAGAGTCCTGGGCATGGAGACACCCTCTCCGACATCCCATGTGGGGAGCAGAGCTCACAGTCTTCTGTGCCTGATTACCCTGTACCAACTCTTGTCCTGGCCTCCGGGTGGCACATGGCTTGGTTAAGCTCTGATCCCTTATGCAGGGTTTTAGGGTCAGGGGACCCTCCACAAAGCGTCTGGGCCTCTCTAGCTACTTCTCCTACGTAGGAACAGGGCAGGCCTGAAGGGCAGAGGGTTGCGTGTGGCAACCAGGAAAGGGGGTTGCCAAGAAGGCATCAGGGAGGACAGTCAAATAGGGAAGAGATGCTAACCTCCTCCCTGTGTTGCCATTTGGAACTAAAAAAAAAAAAAAAAAGACTAAAGAAAAATAAGGGGAAAGTGGGAGAACGAGTAGATTGGTTATTCTCTGACTTCTTTGCCCCAAGGTTTCCCTGAGCCTCTCCCTTTGCAAAACAGACATATTACAGAAATAGGCCAGTGCCATTTTGCTGAATCCTGCCCAAAGACCAGAGAAAACCCGGGGTCTATTCCCCTCCCCTAACTTGAGGCAGTGTGGTTTTCCCTGAAACAGGAGGAGAGGAAGGTGGCAGCATGGGGATACAAGGGATAGAGGGAGAGCTAGTGACAGTGAGATCTAGGTACTGTACTGGCAAAGCTGCCCATTTCCTGCTCACCTGGCTGCCTCCTTCCTTGAGGCCCCCCAAGTCCAATGGGTAACTTGAATCACTAAAATTTAAGGAATTTCAACATATTTGGCCATAGCAGGGACGTCTGGGGACAGAGACCCACCAAAATGCTTTCTCTGGGGGAAAAGGAGGGGGGCCAAGGAGAGCGCGGGAGCCCTAGTCCAGAGATGAGCTGGCAGACAGGAAATGCGGCCACTGCCAGAGGGACAGGTGGGGGGACACTCGTTCCCTGGTTCAAGGGTGCCTCTTCCCTCCATGCCAAGATCCTTAATGAGGCACGGCACAGGCAAGAGGGCGGGAGGGAAGCCCAAGTGATGGCATGGATCTGTGGTGGGCGCTCGGAGTAAAGTCTCCCAGCGGAGTGAGGGAAGAAGGAGGTGCTGGATGCCCCTCTCGGCCCAACCGCGGAGCAGAGGAGGAGGAGAAAGGCCCCGGGAGGAGAGCAGGGATGTGTAAGGGGCCTGGGTCGGTCTGGGTTAGCCCGGTAGGGAGGGCACCAGGGCCCATTTCAAGGCACAGCCAAACCCAATCGGTGGAAGCCAGGGGTCCTGGCTCTCCTTGGAACCTGCAGGCGGTGGCGTGCAGAGCTGCGGGAGGCCAACGCACACGTCCCGTCCCCCTTCCCGCACCCCCCCTCCAGGCCCACCACCCGGTAGCCTTTCCTCTTTGGGACTAAACAGCCCCGCCACCCCAACCCCCAACCCCCCCCGCCCCCCCCCCGCCATGAGACTCGGGTATGAGGGGAAACACAAGCCCTGGTACCGCCTCACCCGGAGCCCACAGGGCGCGCGCGAGGGACCACGAGGACGCGCAACCCAGCGAGCGCGACCCCGCGGCGCTCACACCTGCGCCCGCCCTCGCGGAAAAGTTTCCGCGGCCGCGCGCGCCGCGAGGCCTGTGCCCGCCGGCCCCCGGAGCGAGTCCGCGCGCGGCCGCCGTCGAGTGGCGCCCGCGGGGCCGGAGCCGGGACGCAGGCGGGAGCGTGCGAGCGCCGCCCGCCTCGCCCCTCCCGCCAGGGTCAGCGCCCCGAGTCCCCGCCTCCCTCCTCCCGAAGTCTAAGGTTTGGGGAGTCACTGAGCCAATGAGGCGGGCCTCCCGAGTGGGTGTGCTGGAGCTGCGCGCGGGCGCAGGGGAGCGGCGGGGGCGCGCGTGCGGGGGCGCGCGTGCGGGGGCGCGCGTGCGGGAGCGGCGCGGCGGGCGGGCGAGCGCGCGCCCATTCACTCCAGCACCGCGGCGGGCGGGCGCGCGCGGGCGGGCCGAGCTCTGCTCTTTCACCTGCCGGGGCGGCGCGGCCCGGCCCGGAGGAGGCGGCGCCGCGGCCGCCCTGCCAATCACCTCGGCGCCTGGCAGCGCCCCCGGCCGCTCCCGTCCGCCCGCTCCCTCCTGCCAAACTGTTACCCTGAGTGTTACCGTCAGGAGCAATGACATCAGGGCTTTAAAACAACTTGTTATTCGGGGAGTAATCAGTTGCAATTAGGCATTAATTAAGTATTATGAAAGTTGATTATTTAAGTGAATTCGGCTTTCGACTCTCCGACTATGGTGAGTACGGCAGTGGGGCGGGGGAGGGCAGGGGGCGCCGCCGCGGGGCTCGACCCCAGCGCGGGCGGGGGCCCCCCTAGGCCTCGCGGGCCGCCGGGCCCCCAGACCCGGGCCGCGTCTATAAATAGTTTCTCTTTTAGTTTAATAAACTCGAGAGCCGAGAGGAGCTGCTCCGAGTGTGCAATGCCGGAGCGTGAGAGCGACAGGGGAGGGAGGGAGAAACTTTCGCTCTCCCTCCCGGGCCCCCCTGTCACTGCTCGCCGGGTCCCGGGGACTTGTCCGGCCCTCGCTGGGGGGTGCGGCGAGCCGAGGGGGGCGGGAGGGGGACGGCGGGCACTGCGAGAGACTAAACATGTTTTTTCTTTCCCCTTCTGTTTTTGGCGTTCCTCGAAGAGTTTGGGACCAAAGAGAGGAGAATGGATCTTGGTACAGGTACCGGCGGTGGGAACCAGGGGAGGCTCTTTCACTTTTCTTTCGGTTCTTTTACGGAAGTTAGTATTTTTAGCCCAATGAGGTAGCAGCTGAGCAGGGGGTGGGGGCTGGCCTGGAGAGGGTCCGGTGCCTGCTGCGCTTCTCGCCCTGGTTTCTGGATTGCGAGGCTTCGGATGATATTATTGTTATTATTTGTTACTTGCTTAGTGACTGTGACTAATTTGATGCTTGTCATTATGAAAGGACCGAGGGGAGAGGGAGCTGGGGGGCACCCAGAGAGAGGATTTAGGGGGTTTTTGTGGGGGTTTTTGTTCTCCGTGTTTTTGAATGGCTCCGTGTTTGGTGTGTGTGTGTGTTTCTTTTTCCCCTGCAAAGATCGCCGTGTGTTAGGCTGTGGGGTGTGTGTTTTTATTTTTTTAGTGGGGGGTGGTTTAGTTTTTGAAAGCAGCGTCCTGTTGGGAAAGGTGGTTAGTCTGGTTTCGGGGCGACTGTCTCAAGGTAAAGGAATTTAATTTATTTGGGACAAGGCTGTGTCGGATGATCAAGCTGCTTATTATGGCTAATGAGTATTTTTCACCTGAGAATCCGTGGGATGAGGCGGCTGTTATCAGTTCAAAGTGAGGGGCCCAGGACTCTCTCCCATCCCCCTTTTTAGCTCCCCCCAGGGGGTACACCAGGCAAACTACTAAATTTGGACTCTGGGTTTTGGGGGGCCTCGTATGACACCTAGGCTAGGGTTCCCGATAGCATGATGCTGGCCTGGGGCAGTCTATCCTGATATTTTGGTGTTTTTATTGGTTTTAATCTAATTTTTTCAGTATTTCGCTTCTCTTCCCACCTGGGGTTCCAACCTGAGCCCAGATTGAGGTTTACCATAAGCCCCTCAGGCTCTCAATTAGCCCTCTCTGTTAAAACCACATTTTGACCAGAACCCCAGATCCTAGCCTGAAAAAGCCACTGTCTTCTTAAATGTTTTTGAAAGGAGTCCGTAATAAACAGGCGGATAATTCATTGAGACTGATCTCTGAACCCTTGTGTCTCATTTATAGAAGAATAGGTGGCGGTTAGGATTGTTGTTTATAATGGGCCCAAGTTCATGGCATTGCCCCTTGGGGCCCATGAGCTGACATTTGACCTTCTGAGGTCAAAGGGGAGTGGGCAGAGAGAGCAGGAAGGAGGCAGCACTGGGGGGCCCAGGGTAGGTGAGATGGCAGTCAGCTCTGGGTAGTGGGTGTGTTTGTGGGGAGGGAGGTGGCTCAGAGTTTTTATGACGGTCTCCAGCCAGGTGTGATCTCGGGTAATCTGACGTGGAGGTCCTCGGGACCTCTGTGCCCAGGAAAGATGTGACACCCCCTGCTGGGCAAAGTGCTGAAGGTGTCTAAGGCCACTGTTGCCATGCTGCCCCTCCCTGGCCTCCACGCCCACAGAGAAGCAGCCCACCCCCACCCTAATCAGGTGTCTCATTGCCTCCTTCCTCCGGGCCCCACCCCCTTTCTTCAGAAAAAGGGCCCCCACCCAACCCAGCCAAAAAGCAGTCCTTACAGATGGGCCGGGCGGTGTGCACCACCCCCTACCTGGGGCAGATGAGCCTCTGCTTGTGGGCGGGCACTGTGGACCCAGGCATTACTCAGCTGGAAGGCGGGCCCTCCTCGTCTTCTTCCCTCTAACCTGGGTGCCAACTGGAGCTGGCGTCCACTCTCCTGCCTTCCCCCAAACAGTCCCTCCCAGTCTGCTATGGGCGCATGACTCCAAAGCCCTTCTGGAGGGTGTCTCCGACTGGAGAGAGAGCCTCCTGGGCCTGTGGGTGGCAGAACCTCTTAGAGCATCTCTCATGGGACTTAGGGAGACTTGCTTCTCCCAGCACTCCAGGGATAGGCTCTGGAAACTTTTCCTAGAAGCTGGAAGAGTCACTGAGGTGGAGTGGTCCATCCTCTAGCTGGAGCAGGGCTCTCCCAGCAGGGCTTAGACCTGGACTCTGGCCACTCGGTGAGGGGAGGTCCGGGTGTCAGAGCTCTGACTGCTTCCTGGAGGAGTCATGTGGCGATACCATCTCAGCTTTTTCTTTGAATTTGGAAGTTTCACTTAATTTCAGAACTTCAGAAGAAAAATAATTTTTTCCCTCTTCACAAAAAAAGGGAAGCAGGTGGGAACTCTGAGATCCCCCTCGGAGCCCATCTCTGGGCTGACTCTGTGCTCATCTTCCAAAATATCTGGAATGTACTTCTGGACCCAGCCATGGCCAAAGGTCTCGTCACTGGCCAGGGCTCATTGCTGAGACTGTGAGGGGCTCTCTTCTTCGGGGGGACCATGGGCAGCTTACACCGAGAGCTTCTGTAGCAGAGGACAAGGCTGGAGGCTCAGGCCCCAAAAGGTTGCTGGCGCCAGGGACCCTAAAAGCATTGGATCATGGGTTAACATCCTCTCTAGCCTGGGGCAGGTCCAAGTCCTGAAGCATTCCGTCCAGAAGCCATTCAGTGGTGGCAGAACCTAGGCTTCTCAGAAGGGAACAGCAGGACCTCAGGACCGTCCAGGGCCATGTGGACCCCTATTCCCCCACCATAGTTCAGCCAAGGGCTGGATCAATCTGGACGTCTTTAGCAATAAAAAATGCCGATGTCGTCCTAATTCACCAGGCCCCGAGATGACAGCAAATTTACATTTTTTAATTAAACTAGCAGCCAGTTTTTATGAGAGGGGGTTGGGTTATGCAAATCAAATGGTTGTGTACGGAAGATTAGGAGAGTTTGGGAATAAATTCCACAAATGCTAATAAAAAAAAAAAAGGAAAGGGAAAGAGAGGAGGGAGGGAGGAGAGAGAGGAAGAGAGGAGGACATAGTTCCATTAGGCCCTTTTAGAGTGATTTCCCTGGGGGAGGGAGCTGGGCAGGGGAGGGGAGAGGGGGAGGGAGCTTTCAGACACAGGTAAATCCATCCTGCAGTTGGGAAGCTCCGCAGTGTTAGGCCCCACTAGGCTGATGGCTAGGCCCCAACAAGACTGGAGGCAGGGGCGCAAGGGCCGTGAAGCAACAGTGGAGCTTTGAGAGGGACCTTGCCCTTGATTCTCAGGGTCTGCTTGTAACTGCCCACACTCTCCCCAGGGAGAGTGTGAGAAGAAGAGGAGAGGCTGTCCAGGGCTAGAGCTGTCCATCAGGATCCAAGCTAGGCCCCACCAGGTCAAGGGCCAAAGAGGCAAGAGAGCAAGTTCAAGGGGATGGTCAGGGACAGAGAGCCAGAAAGGGGTGGCACTGTCCACTTGGTAGCCATGGTATCAAGGTGAGGTCAGTGGGAGGAATTGGCGTTGCTCACTGAGCCAGACCTGCTTTTTCCCTGGGATAAGCTCTGCTGGAACTCTGGGGCCGGGAACCCCTGGCCTTGTGAACAGACACACCCCCACCCCCACCCCGCACCGTTGCATCCGAGCCCTGGCCTCAGCGGTGGAGGAAGCCTGAAGCCGGCTGTCCTCGATTTTCCTTCCTCAAGCCTTTACTTGGCCAGATACACCCACTCCACCAGTCTAAGCTAGGGCCAGTCCCTGCAGTCAGGTTGGGCACCGGTTTTGCCAGTCTGCTGCAGGGGGTAGGTGCCATCTTGGCAGGAAGGTGCAGTCAGAGCCAAGGACAGAATGGGCTGTCTCGGAAGTAGCGAGTTTCCTGGTACCATTCAAACAGAGGCTGGCTGTGACGTGTGCGGGGACTTGAGCATCAGATGACCTTTAAGGCCTCTGGCTCTCCAGCTCTCAACTGGATCTTACTGGGGACCGTCAGTGGGGGCAGTTTGTGGGGACGGGGTTGAGGGGAGGAGGTGAGAAGCACATCGTTCGGGACTTCTCTTCCGAAGAAGGCATTTGCGACCTGCGGCTCTGGACTGCAAAGTGGCCCTCGCACCAGCCCTGGTCCTGGTTGAGACATCAGAGCAGAACATGGGCTAAAAGCCCAAGCGTAGCTGTTCTAGCAACAAGAGGCAGAGGCAGCAAGGGCACATCTGGAAGGATCCCTAGAGGGGCCCCATCCCAGGCCCTTTTTTCCTGTAGGGACCAGCCAGGAGAACCCATTAACTTTCCTCTCCGAGAAGGGCACTGGGGCCACTTAGCCAGACCTCGTGCAGCCTGGCCATCGTGCCGCCATTCGCCCATCCCCCACGGCCAGGGAATCTGGCTGAGTTGCAGCTTGGGTTTTTATGATGGAAAAATAAAATAAATGGAGACACCTTTGGAGGGCTGAGTCACGCAGCAGCATCTCCTCATTAAAGCTGCTGCCCCTGGCTCAAGTCCCTGGGCTGGGGATCGGGTGGGGCCCGGGAAGATTCTGGGCGCCGGCTCCTCCGCCTGGACCCTGCCAGGTTAGTGGTGTGCCTGCCCCACCATCAGCCTCCTCTGGCTGGCCCGCCATGCTTAGAGGAGTCAGGCCGTTTCTCCCCCCGCCCCACTCACCTGGGGCCCCAAAGCTTGTCCTTTACCACTGCCCTCCCTGAGCTGGTTTTTAAACCTTGACCACCCCGGCAGCTGCCACATCTTCTCCTCCTCCTCATCTTTGCCGTGGGGTCGCAGGAGGAAGTTGCTCTGTAGTAATTCCAGCCTGAGGGTCCCTGAGGCAAGCAGCAGCTATCCCAGGATACCTGGCCAGGGTACAGCAGGAGGAAGAAGGAGCAGGGGAGGAGGAGAAGGCTGGCGGTCCCAGGGGGTAGAGGATGGCCTATGTCCCTTGGACCGCTTGTGAAAGGCAGCCACTTGGTGGTCCAGCGTTCACCCCTCTGGCTGCCTGACCGCAGCCTGGCTCCTCACACCCCACGTTCATCAGGACGTAGTGTCCCCTGTCCAGGAAGAGACCCCGTGCGGGTGGTGAGGCTGGCGATTCAGAACGTGTTAGGGAGCACCTGCTAGAGCTGCCAGGGCCGCGAAGCTGCCTGGTCCTTCCCTGCGTTCTGGGACCCACCCGGTGGAGGGAGACAGGCGTGTTCAGCTGCCACGGGGCAGAGGGGCACAGGGTGGGAGCCCAGGGAGC